TTCTCTTGAAAATAAAGACAGATTTAGGACTTCCCAGAAATTTGCTTTCTTCAGAACACGATACCACATGGGAAGGCAGAGGAGGTTCCTGAGGGCATGAGTTGCTAAAAGAAGTCCTTGTACAGAAAAAGGGGCTCGCTGCCTCTAGCACATGGGACAGAAGACCGTAATGATCTTTGAGGCAGATCACAAACTTACTGGTGTCTAAGCAGCATGTGTTATATTAACAGGACATTATTAAAACAGCCTGTCTAGTGCTTTGGAAGATCAGGCATGTATAGAGTCTGAGGAGGATTTTAAAGAAGCCATTCATACCTCTACTCTTAATATTGATTTCTAGTGAATATATATATATATATATATAAAATATGTTCCAGAGGTCAGATCTTTGGCATTGTGTAAAGGAGCCTTTCCTAAAATCTAACTATCAACTGGAGATCAATCCAGTTGCCTAAGGGCAGGATCAATCTGATCTAATGCTAGACATCATGCCTCATTTGTACAAAGATTTAATCTATGATCAACAGAGAGAGGAGCAACACCAGAGGGTGATTTATCCCATCCTAAAAGAAGTCATTTAGGTGGCTAATCCAGACAAGAAGCCTATTTTTAGATGGTTGAGGTTAGGCAAAAAAAAAAAACTTTGTAAAAGTGGGTATCTTTGGCTAACACAGGCTTTTCTGGGCAGCCACATCTCAGTTAAATCTTACCTGTGAAGGCTGTCTCTATACTAAACAGAAAATGAGTTTAAAAGTAGCCACCCTTAACTTCAAATACATTTCTGCTTATCTTTGCTCTGGCAAAATATCTGGGAGTACTAATTCCCTTCTTTTTTCCTCTAGAAATATTCCTCTGCAACTACTGGCATGAAATTGTCAGCACACTGAAAGTACTCCCAAAAACCAGATTGAGAGACATAAACCACGTCCATGTAAATCAGAAACTCTGAGGGACTGCAATATAACTGATTTTACTGCTGAACATCATGCACTAAAAAGCCAAATGCTTTTCAGTTGCTCTCATCTTAAAACGATTTCTTAGTGGCGCAGTGAAACTTTAGGCAAAAGTAGCAGGATTTTTACCGAGTGAGCTCTCAATAAATCCCAAAATTGCATCTCACTGTCCAAATAAGAGAAAGCAAGGCAGCATTTGAAAGGAAACCCACCTGAAATTCTGCATGAATTGTCGAAATTTGCTGGCTCTCTTGGCCAAGGGGACAATGATATTAATAAGCGTGTCAGCCATATTGACATTTTCATTTTTCACTTTCATTACGGGACCAAACGGCCGGAATAAGACGATCTTCTTGAACTGGTGCTTTGCATCTCCTTTGAAAGTCAGCTCGTACAACGTGCCCTTGTCCTTTTCTGTGCGATAGATCCCTGCAAGAACACAAAGGGAAGGGATTTTTGATTTCAAGTTGGGCTCCTGGGGGGAAATAAGACACAAGCTAAGCACAGCTGAAAAGGCAGCAGAGCTACGAGACATTTTACTTCTCAAGCAGTGTGTGATCCACCATCACTTGGAGGAGGTTCAGTGTGGCACGGAGATGACTCCAGCCTCCAGGAGGCACTTGCTCTTCTCATGGATACACTCCTAGACTTGGCTGAGTTACACCCCCTTGAAGGTTGCTCTTTGCTCACATACATGGCAGCCCAGCAGCCACACCGTCCTTAACACTGGTCACTGTTTGCTTGGAAGGGTTTACATTTCCACATGGAATGCGCTCTTAAGATGCTCAGGGGTGAAACTGCTCGCATGCTGTGGGCTGATGTGAACTGTAAAAGCACTGGCCTGTGCTTCACTGAAACAAAGCTCTGAGACCTTAAACAAGACATAACTCGTCTGGCTGCTGTAGATTTTACCCATTCCAAGTGACACTTCAATCTCTGCAACATTGGTATGTTCAGAAGACCCAAAAGATTCATGAGGTGTGATTTTATCTGGCAAGAACTCTGCGGGTTGCCTCATCTTTTCTAAGTTTTTTATTTTAATGAGCACTTTGGCTGGTCTATGCAAGATAGATTTACTTATTCCCTTCATGCTTTATTTTTAATATAAGCTAATTCATCAAATGCTCCAATCTGCCAGTACAGTACATGGCTTCAAAGAGAAAATGCCATTTTTGTGAGCAGCTCCATCATTATTTCACCAACAATCTTTTAAAACTGCACCTTTGATTGCCCTGCTAGCTTTTTCTATACAGTCTGCCCAAGGTGCAGACCACAAACTATTTCTGAACTGGAACCTACCCTTGAGATCATCTGCTGGCTTAAGAGCCTCTGGATTTTCCTCCTCTTGATAATTAAAAAAAAGAAATCAGTGCCTTTGAGTTTCCCTTACCACCTTGTTCATAGGAAAAGCTTGTTGATGATCTGAGTATTTTGCTGGGTGTGATCATTGGCCCAGGCACTGCTTGAGGTGGCTGGTATTGGGAAGCTTGATAATAAGCTAAAGAAAGATCGAAATCAAATTGAATCTGCGTTTTCCCTAAAGACAAATTTCAAGGTCTGCTTTGTATGTTTGGAACAGTGGACAGACATTTCTCCTCACAGCAGAGAGCTAAATCAAAGAAGCAATTTGATACCATTTAGCAAGCAGCACCTATAACACACATTTTCTATGCTTTTTCTAATGCCATAAGGATCTCTGCTTGCACCTATATAAGTTAATGAGCAGCCCAGAGCTGTTGACCGGCCTTCAACTGCAAACAGAGTGGTCCTTAAGCCTGCTTATAACATACAAAGATTCCTGGTCTCTTCCATGCTCTCCCTCAGTAACTCCACGGGGCAGAACACCAACTAACTCGATGCAGGATTGGGAGGAACACGGGAGCACAGTGGGGAGTTATAGCAGCTACACAGCCCTGTGCAGAGTGAAGCCGAAAGCAGAGCTGCAGCCAGATGGATCATTTGGGGCCCCAGGGAGAAGGTGTGGTTCACTCTGTTTGGAATAAGGAAAAAACGGAAAATTCCGCTGCGCGTCAGCTATTACTCGTGGAAAGAGAACTGTCTGGGAATCCTGTCCAAATTTTGTGTAGCAGCAAAGCTGCTGAGAGGGAGTTGTGCTCAGAGAGAAGGTGCTGGGGTCACAGCCTGATTCCCACGCGCAAGCGGCTCTGTCTAGAAACTGCAGAGCCACATGCGACGCTTATTTTAAGAGCCACAGAGACAAACAGTTTCCCCTGAGATGTAAAAAGGGCTTGAAGGAATATTTTCCCTCTGCGAAGACAAAGAGACAGGCACAAAATGGGAAAGAGAAACATATCCTCCTTAACTTCCCTGCATTACACCATCCCACTGAGTATTGGTATATATTGCACCATCCAAGGGATGGCAGGTACCAGATGTGATCCATAGGGATAAAAAAAAAAAAAACCAAAATGCTCCCCCTAACACATAAAACCCCAAGCAAACAAGACTGCTTATTATCACCCCAGTAGACAAGTGAGACCCAGGATCAAAAACACACTTCAGACAACAGGAGTAAAGCAGCTACCGAAGGCTTTTCTGAGTTGGGCATAACGAAAGATACAAGACTGACAAACCAACAGCAGCAGTTTGGGTTTCTAACCCTGTCTGTGACACCAATTCTGTAATTTTCACCTCACCACATCCCTCCATCTGGCCAGCCTTAAGACGTGAGTGTGTACCTTTAGCCTATGGGATGCATACTGTCTGTGTGCTGTTATTTCTAAAGGTAAAGTGTTATTATTTTCTGGGGAAGGCTGGGCCCCTCTCCCAGAAAGTTCCAGCTACCCTGGGCAGCTCCCAAGGAATCCAGCCAAGGAATCCAGCCTGTTAGTAACTTTTAATGCAGATTGTGGTATCTGCACAAGGTTGTCATCCAAACAAGCCCTGGGTCCAATCCATACTTGGAATGCAGACTGAGACAGAAAATTCAAGTCCCCTCCTCCTCCTTCTCATATTATACACAGCAATGAATCTCTTTGTACCTTGATCAGCAGTTTTTGTCCCTGCTGGACAGGGAAGATACTTTAATGTTGCTCCAAAACTCACTCCAGTTGCCTCCACAGAGGCTGACAACACCAGCAGAGAGGCTGTGGCCAAAGTGGAAAGTGACATTAAAATATTTCTCCGATATGAAATCCAATAAAATAGCTCGACAAATGTGTTGCCCCAGAAAATCTTCACAGACCCAAGTACTGTTCCAAATTCAGCACCCTGTCTATCAAGCCCAGGGACAACGTCCTCCTACTGCTTCAACCTTCCCATCTGCAAAGCAAGAGTAAAGCTACCATTCCCTTTAACAGATGATTTCAGATTCCATATCAGATGACATAAATCAAGAGCTGACTGCTGTTGCTATTAAAAGTAGCACTTCGGAAGTGTACACTTATTGTCTCCATATTACATGTATGGCTGATGACAAAACTCTGTTTAGCTCTTTTTGGTATCGGAGGGCTAAAAGCTTGTGCGCTACGCCCAGTATAAGAATTCCCCTAAAAGTTTCTGGGTTTTGTTTCATTTTTAGCTACAGGTGATAACAGCTAAGCTAACTGAGCACTTCAGTTGCTGTCCTTAAAACCTACCTTGCCTCTCTGCTGAAGTAGCGCAGGTGGGACCAGGGTAACACCAGAGCTGGAGCCTCACTGAGTCTCAGCACTAGCTAGACCCAAACTTCAGCCTTGAACCCGTCTCCTTGGGCCCTGCTGCCACGCAAGGGCCCCTTGCAAAGCCTCTCTAACCTGCTGTTTGCGTACCAACCTTCGACGAAGTCAGAGGCTGTGAACACCCGCTGCCTTGCGTTGCCATCCGCCTCCGGGTGGTTCAGGCTGCCAAGAGCCAACTCGATCACCTCTGTCAGCTCATCGCGCCTGTCCCTCCTGACAGGCTTCTCTTCTGGGTGGCGTGTGAGCCCCATTTCCAGCTGGTACACCTTCTGCAGGGTAAAGCTCTCAAAGGGCACGACCGCGTACTCGGTGGACAGCTTAAAGCCGCTGTGCACCTCCGCTTTGGCTATTTGGGAACGGAGGAAAGACAGCAGATCAGCCTGGACTTTTGCTGGATTGCTGTGGTCAATATGAACAGCCAAAGAGTCCGGCAACTGCTCCTGTACGTTCTTGAGCTGCTCATTTCTGCCTTGGAGCTCAGCCTTCAGCTGGGCAATTTGTTTCTTCAAGCTGATGATGTAGTCACGGTGCTGCTCTTCTCGTTCCTGCAGAACAGCTTCGTAACCCTCCTTGCTGGTCGGGCTGTGGGCCCGAGGCAAGGCGAGCTGCTCGTCATCCCCCTTGGGTGTGCAAGCCAACATATAAACAATGGACACGGAGCAACAGGCCACCACGAGCAGACCTGCGAGCCGGGGAAGAAATACAAGAAATCCTCGTCGGAGCATCATCTCTCAAAAAGCAGAGGGTAACCCCACACCTGCAGCAGTTATTACATCCGTGCAGTGCCTCAGCAGCCCCTGGATTTGGACCACCCTTGCACAGATGGAACTGTCTCTCTCCAGCATTCACCCTGCAGGACCAAACGTCAGGCTACAGTGCAGATCAGGGACCCGCTCATCCTCCCGGCACCGCTGCCATTTGATCCGCTGCAGCTGACGGAGACTAAAGACCTGAAAAACAAAAGACAAGGACAGTCACGCAGGCATGTAAGAATTTGACCATTCAAGACAGGCCCTTGAGAGCATTCCAAAAGTTTATTGTCATTTGTCGACCACTCTGGTAGATCTCAGAGCTGTGGAAGTGCTCGGTGCCTTGGTAAGACCAAAAAGGTACTAAGACCCTTGGGCAGGAAATCCTGTTTTCATGTGCTTAATGTTAACAACATGATTAGGCCCATTGCCAATGGAAACCCCGTCCAAGTCTCAATGTTAGGCACACTTCAGAAACACTAGAAAGTTATCAGCAGTTATTTCTGCTCAGATGTTAAAGCACTCAGCACATCTGAGTAATGCCAGCTCTCCAGGAGTCCCCAAATCATATAACACTTAAATTTTAAAGGCTGCCAGTCCCATGGCTACCACATGCATTTCCATTTTTGTGAAAGTTTTTCTAAAACACCAGGTAGCAAATGTGGTCCTATTAGAACACACGAACCTGGATCCTGAGCAGCAATTAGAAAATGAAGAAACTAGAAACTGTTACTGGAGCCAAACTTTATGACTAAAATTCAGTGCGGCACAGACCACCGGATGCTCCCAATAGAAAGGAAGAGCTAGGGGCAGGATTCTTCAGGCGCGTTCAGACCAAGCCTTCCTCAAAAACTTTGCTTCCATCACTGATTTGATCATTGCACGCTATACTATCCTTCTAAGAGCCTATTCTTTGTCTGATCAGCTCCATTGCTAAAGTCCTGCACCGATGCCTTCTGCTACTGTGTTTTCCATGACTGTTCTCTGCCAAGGAATGAAGACCACATAGGAGACTCTGGGAAAACTTGCTTGGGTATTTTGTAAAAATAAAGGAAGATAAAACAACTGGGAACATTATCACTTTTTAGCAAGACTTCCTTTGAGTGTATTTAAAAGCAGGAAAGAAAAATCAGGTGACCGAACATCAATATCAATCTAGCTATAAACTTTGTTAAAACAATTATGCTGAGAAAGTTACCAGTGGGATTTTCAAAATCACTCAGTTTTGGCCCAAATCCTAAGAAAGGAACTTTATCATTTATATGCCTAACAACAGATGCTGGCCAAGGCAGAGTCCCATCCTCGATACCAGTACGACACACCACTGTTAAACTCAAACATAAGCAGAATTAACCCCTTTCCACTCCTCCCTTTGGGTGTATACTTGACATTATGACACAAGGTTTGACACCAGAGATTTGCAGCCTTGTTAGTCACATGTCCTTTCTGGTGGACCTTTAAGTAAAAACAGTTTATTGAAGAAAGTACATGCTTCTGAGAATGATTTCTATGTCTTGCATCAAAACCTTTTGTAATCTGTGATACCTCTTAATGATTTCTACATGAATTCCCTCCTCCCCATGATACTGCTGGGCTATTAATCCAAATGCAGTATTTATCCAGCAATATTCCCAAAATTTTAACCGCTATCCATATTTTATCAGTCTGCAGAGCTGCTAGAGAAAACAGTTCCAGAGGATGAATTGAGGGGGCTAGAGAGAGCTGTAAAAATAGAGCTGTATTTTCCTCAAAGTAATGCTGAATAGCTATTATAGTATTTATAGGATTCTTCAGAAAATGTCAGTGCTTTCAAAGGCAGAACTGTTGACAAAGAAGAAAATATTCAAGCAGCAGGAAACCGGAAAGGATGGAGTTTGCGTCCTTACCTTTTTTCACTGCTCTTCTCTTTGGAGCATTTTGGCCAGCTACAGCTGCTTCTCGGCCTGCCACAATCATCTTTTGTTTATCTTCCTTTTCATGCCCTTCCCCAAAAATTCAAGTACTAGGAAAAACATGATCAACCTCAGAACACCTCTTCATTGCTTTCACATGTGCCAGCTGCCTACATCTTCAGTCTGTCTCCTGAGTGGTGAAAGGCTGTAGTGGGGATGCTTCCTATGGATGCGCTATAAAAGTTGGCCTCCTGCAATGTAAAGGAGCTTGTCAAAGCAGGGAAATTAATCTGGGTATTTCTGCCTCTTCAACAGATCTGGCTAGAGGACTGCAAGAAGGTAGTGTGAGGGAGACAGGGTCAGGAAGTGGCGAGATGTACTACATAAAACACTGCTGTGTTTGTATGCTTCAGTTCGCACAATTAGTCCATTGACTGCACTGGCAGAAGCTGAACATCAGTGAAAGGATTAGTTGTGCTCATGCAGGATAAACTGAAACTACATCTCAATGGCTTAGATAAACATGTAATTTCATTTCTATAAGCAGCATCAGATTCGGGCTTTGGGTAAAAAGCCCAAATGTTGACCTTAAAATACATACATATGTACACATATATGTGTATATGTCTATAGCTATGTTTGCTTGAATGTACTAGGCTCTGTTTAGAGCAATTCTTTTTCTACAGTTTGCTGGTTTGTAATCTCACCACTGAAGAGTTATCTTTAAACACCCTTTGGAATAGTAAATTGACTGATTACTTTGTCCTTTGAACCCACATACTGATAAAATGAAATGAGAGCCATGGGGATTTCCACCTTCCCCATGCAGCTCGTACCATCATGACCAGAGGCATCCTGAAAAGTTTGGTGCCCATTACTTGTCCTCTAATGTTAGATCTGTCTTACTAAATCAGCCCCATGGCCTTTATAGCACTGCATGATGCCCCCTTAGGCATATTGATGTTAAGGCATATTGATGTTAATGCATTAGTACCTCATGGGCACGTTTCTTAAAGTGGTCCCTATTCATGGCAGTGTCCCCCACCAAAAATACTGATGGTGGCCACGGCTATGGCATCTCGGCTACACTGACAGTACCAAAAAATTAGGAATGGTAACTCTCCCTAACAGCCATTCTTTTGATTTCACCAGACCTACACAGTTTCACACCAGTTGAGAGCCTGAGATGAAGTGGAGACAAACTGAAATGTCATTTTTTTTCTCTGGGAACTGACAAAAACGCCTCTACATTTTACTGCAGTCAGCTGCATCAAGTAGTATTAGCATGTTTGCAAAGAAGAGCTTTAACAAATACACAGTGGTCAGTCTGACAGCCAAGGAAAAGAACACGAATTCCAAGAAAGCCTCTATTTGTGAAAACATCTTCAGCCTCAGTCCAACCTGTAAGCCCAGCCAGAGGTCAGCCCAGCTCACAGAGGTGCTTTCAAGGAGCTGGGCTCAAAAATGACCCAAAGAAAGACATGGATCCATCAGCACTACAAGCGCCGTGTAAACTGCGACACCATCCTCAGCTCACGGAGCCACTGCAGAGCACAGCGTGGGCAGCAAGCCATAAGGAGCAGCAATGTATAGAGAGCTGCTTGGTTTAAATTTTGGGATGGTGTGCTCCCACTGCCGTTACTCACCAGCATCTGGAGTTTTTCAGACTGTAAAGCTACATGCAGTTTATGTCTGTGTGTAAAATACAAATTATTTTAAGCCCGAATTTGGCCTCCCAAAAACCAAGCTGTGAATTGGCACAGAAGACGGGGTCTCAATGTGCATACATACACATATACACAGGTATGTGTGTATATAAATATACACATATACATAAATATGAATCTCCCCTACCGAGCTCTACATGACACTTTATGTTGAGGACAAAATTAAACCCTGAACCATGTAAGTTCTAATTACAGCTCCAAAGAACCCATATGACATAACATGTAAAATTATCTTCACAGACTAATATCATTGTTTATCATTGTTAAAAATTGCACCAATACTCCAAGAACTACTTTCTCTCCCCCAGAACTACGTTATCTGAGAAAAAAAGATGGCTTTTTTGACAGATCAGTAACACAAACCCATTGCATGAGTTCACATTAGTTGTGTTATTTGTGTTTGAGAAATGTAGACTTTCACCCTACACTCCCTTACACCAAGCCTCTGCTAAACACACTAACTTGAGGTATATAACACCCCAAATCCTCTGTGCTTTTTTGGCTGCACTGTAGCACATTTCCATTAGCTGTTGCAGGATCTGCACAGAAGTACCGTAAGGAGAGGGGGGGCAGACACCCACCTTTTCTTTGGAAATCCCTGAACCTGTTCAGGTTGCTCCCCCATGAGTCGCCAGGTTATGTACAATGTTTCAGAGATGTATCTGCAGCAAAGGAAAACAGGCAAAATGCTCTGCTCAATGCAAGGAAATGTAATATTGTCCTCTTCCTGTTATACAGTAACCAAAAAATGTCAGAAATCCTTCGGAAGCCAGTGTGTTTGCAAAACTTTTGTGGAAGTTTCCATTACTCACTCTATTTATCCTCCATTGGGCAATGTGACAGATCATACCCCCTGCCAAGCTCTCAAGAGAAAAGGCCAGAGAATAGATGACAAGCGGGTGCCGTCACTTCAGAGATGCTGTGCTAACACCGGGGAGAAACAGCCACGACGCTTCTCTCTCAGGACCATTCCTCATTAGCAAGCTCTGACCTGAAGCTTTAGGAAGGCAGCTTCTCAAAAAGTGTCTCGGACTTTGCCAAAATGGAGATGACCAATTTGCATTTGGTTCGACCTGCAGTTCAGCCTGGTCTTTTAAGAGGGAATTAACAAACTGTCCTAATTGTCAGTTGTAAAGAAAATAACCATTGAGCTGGACAGCCAAGATACCGATCTTTGGATATTCATCTTTGCTAGAACACTATCACCTCCTGGCCTCACCTTGTACTTCAAAAGAAGTTTGCTAGTTAGTTTGATACCAAAGGGGAAAAGAGAAACAGTCATTACATTCATCTAGCCTGGATAAGAATTTCCAGAGCAAAAACAAATACACAGCTTCCATTTAGCTCTCATTACAAAAGAAAACCAAGTCTTAGATGACAAACTAATAACCAGGAGGAGCCAGAAAATAATTGATACCAGATGCAGCACCCAGG